TGTATAACAGAGAGTATAAGCTTTATTAGGGATTTTGTAAGAAAATAGTTCTATGTGCATAAAGGATTAAGTATTTGGTGTATTTAAAATGTTTGAAATGTTTGGAATATTTGGAATATTTGGAATATTTAAAATTTATATGCATAACACTAATTTTCTAAAGATACGAATTAAATAGTTTTGTAATTTCAAGTATCAAATGTTTTTATCTAATTTAATGATGTTATCTCTAGATTTAATGGAAAAACCGAGTTTCTTTCTTTGTGAGCGGTATTCATTTTCGTCATCGGAACGACGTATAATAACAGCGCGCGCGCTCTTTATCATTCTCTACATCCTTGATGATGCATACTATTCAGCGGTCGTGCGTGTCGATCGTAGTTAGTGTCGTGCAATGTTATCGGTTAATGCTGATGCCGGTTGAACTTGGTTTCAAGTTTAACCCTTTGTATTCAGGATCGTGACGTTTTTACTATTCACTGCGTCCGTGTGTCCATTGAAATAACACGCGTGCCGTTATTTACGTTATAACTCACTCGAGACCTGGGTTCTTAAAAAGACGATTTCCAGGAATCAGGACCCGAAATCGTCACTTTCACCATTACTCTTCACTTTTTGTAATCCTAACAATCTTAATTGTGAATTACCCTTTTGGTGGTCTTAACTTAAAACCAATACAAGTTTCAGTTTTTGCATATCTTCCGTTTTTACTATTAACTATTAACTAGTAAAGTAAGCTAGTTTTTCACTACTAACTGATGACAGAAATTCATGATCATCACACACATGGTGTATAACTTGTCTCGAATAGTTCAAGCGTTAACACATTAAATGTCGGATGATTCACGGAGCGAAGTACACAAAAGGCAATAAATATAATACCGTATCATTTAATCGACCTGCTTTCTCGTTATTGCACCTTCATTCTTGCTAGTGTCACCGTTTCAAGTTCCATTATTTGTAATATACAAAAGTATTTCAATAATCATCCTTTAGTAAAGTGAACTACAGTAACCGGTAGTCCCTGATTACCAACGGAAGAACACTGTCTAATATCGAAATACATGTGCCATTTACTTATTTATTCCCCTTCATTTCGTAATACGTTCCTTTTTGAATTTGTTAAATCTCATTCTTATTTCCCCCCAATTCTATAAACGTTAAAGAATTTAGTTATGGAATCTTCTGCTTGTTCTGCAGATCATTAGCATTTTTGAAATTTCGGACTTTCCTGTCCCAACTATCGAAGAAGTATAGAAAGACTCCGATCTTTCCGGTCCTAAACTTCTCACTGACATAGATTTACTTGTGACTTTATTTTTGCTTACAACCCATAATATAGGAACCTTGTTTGATGTTTCTTCCTCTTCTTCTCAAACCTTACTAAATCACATGAACTTGGTTCGGTATTCTTCGCTTAGATGGAGTTCTTTCGGTCGGCAACTATAAAAGGGTTAAAGGTTGCCGGTCGTGTCGCGCCGGCCACGGTCCAAATCGCGCCAACGCGGATAATCGACGCTGGATCTCGTCGTTGGTTCTTTTCCGACGTTTTCGACGATAAAGGGGCAACCGCCGTAGCCGGGCCAAGGTTGCCGTATTTTCGAGACCGGATCGGGTATGCAAATCGTTCACCGTGATATCCCCGCTAGATTCGTTCGACCATCCTCCTTTCGAGCGTTTTATCATCCTCGAGTTTATTTATAACTCTTTGGGATGCGCCGTTTCGTGGTGAACCTTGGCGCCCGAAATGGTTACGAATTTGCGTCTTAGATAGCGATTGATTCCGCGACGGCGGAATGCTAGACAGTTTCGAGTATTATTGTTCACTGTTGCCACTGGTAAACGATTGAATTAACCTCTTGTCTTATAATTTCTATCACAACTGTACTTGATAACATTACTTTATTGTTATTCTAATTTAACCCTTTGCGGACCAGCATTTTTTCAATTTCTAGAAACTCTCTTTCCATAGAAAACCCAGAAATCCATCGAGTTCTTATTCCCTTGCTCTATAATTTATTTCTTAACTATGATCGATACAACTACTTTATTGTTAATAAGTTATTAAGAATAAAACAAATTTTAATACTTATTTTATGTCTACATTTATTCCAAAGATTAACGATTGATAATGGAAAAGTAATATTTAATTTATATTGAAAGAGACTTAATAACACTTAGACTTCTCAAATTCAGTTGAAAATTTTCGTCACGAGTCTGACACGATATTGTAGGTCAAGGGGTAAATACTAGAAAAGAAGAAAATCGGGTATCAATCTATGCGATATTTTAATCCTAATTCATTCATAATTTCATAATTTTACACATAATTCACATTATTTATTTACAGCTTTCGGTTTCAGGCATGAAAGTTCCAAGACGCCATTACGGCGGCATTTGACCGCAAAGGGTTAATAGAAAAAGAAAAGAATTTGATCCTCAAGTCTATCAATTACGAAGCTCAATGGGATCTCTATTAATCGAATCATTAGTTTTCGTGATATAGATCATTCGTAGTATTCGTCGTTCATATATTCAATAATTAACCCTTTGCAGTCGAATCTCATTATAACGACGACTTCGAGCTTTCATCTTTAAAATCCAAAGCTGCAAATGAATAATTTAAGTATTCAAATAACGAGAGACTGACACGTGGTGTTTTTCTTTTCTGATAGTTAAGATTTCTATACATAATTCAGTTTTGTATAGGAAGACTTTTAAAAAGTTTCAAAAGTTCTCGTCCGAAAAAGGTTAAGATTTTTAGATTATTTTTTATTAAGTGTACGATTCAATCTTGCAAACGCTCTTTGAAAAATTTCTTCTCGTTTCTCCATTCATTTGGAATGAGACTCTGTTGTACTGAAAATCTGTGGTCTGTCTTATTGGGGATATTTTAAAGATATCTGTTATTTACGTCTGTTTATGTCTTCGCGACGGAATTGTTTTGATATTTTCGAAAATTTTTCTTGACCGTTACGATGGACACTGGGAATGAAGGTTTTATGTTGAAAGTTGTTTTTTTTAGGCGACAAGGCTGGTTAACTCCGCGAACCTGTTGCCGCGCGTGACGCATGTCAGCCGAGGCTGTGTACAAACAGTCCTGTTAATGCTTACGTCCTACGGTGAATAACGTAACGTATTAACACCGTGACCTCATATTACGCATTTATCGTGTCTGGGTGTGTAACTCTTCGTAGAGAGCTTTCGTTGAAATGCAAATAGTTACGCTGTCGCAGGGCTTTATTCGTATCAGATATGGCGCGTAACCGATTCGGAGTACGCAGGTATCGGTTACGTTTACAATTCCCTTTCTAACGATCTTCATTACCTTCAATCGAGAGAACTCGAACCTATCCGCTGGAATTTCAATTTAAATTTGAATTATTCGAAATGTTAGGTTTGATTTGACAGTTAAATACATCCGTCTGATTTCCGATTTTGGTTTGAATCTCTGCGTTTGGATTAGAATCGAAAATTTGATTTCCTTCATTGAATTTCAATCGAATTTCGGATTCAAAATGTGAAATAAATTTGAATCGCTTGAACTTTCGTTTCAATTTGATTTCATTCGTATCATTTCTAATCGAAATAGCAGTTACACGTTTGATTTGAAAATGAAATTAGAATTCATAAATGTCAATCGAATTTCGAGTAAAAAATGTGAAATTTGAATTGCTGGTACATCGTTTTCAACGGAAATTTACTCATATGATTTTCAATTGAAATGATGGTTACAAGTTTGATTCAGAAATGAAATTATATGAGATAAGTTCGATTTCGAAATCTTTTTTCGAAGGGAAGCTTCTTCTGCGGTTGGATTGAATTTACGATCGTCATTTGAAGCGAAGTTTTCTACGGCGTTCCGTGAACCGCGGCAAGAACTAAAACGGAACTTCATCAAGGTTCTCGCGTTGTTCGCAAGGCGAGCACCGACAGCGCGTTAAATAAGAAAATAACGTAACAGCCGAGTCATTCGAGCCTCCAAATGATTCATGCTATCGCATGAAACGCGCAGCCAGCTTAAACCATACTTCCTGCTGCAGTCTGGCCCACTAGCTCCCTTTATGGACAATACTTACGTTGCATAATACGTTCGGTTCGCGCGCGGTTCACGAGCAGATAATTCTCGCGAGATCCGAAGCTCCATTCTGTGCGCCATTTCCACGCAATCTAATTGGTTCCCACCCAATTAATCAGTAATTTCTAATTTCTACTCGCAACTAACGGGAAACCGTTCCCTTTCAATCTCATTTGTCGCATTTACAAATTTGGTAATTCCATTCTCAACAATTTCGATCGCACGTAATTACCAGATATTCCATTCTATAGCTTCACCATTTTCACGTAATTCCACTGTTTCTCATTAATCAATTAATTTCTAATTTCTGGAACCAATCAACGTGATATATCTCGCTTTCGATCTCACTCGTCATGTTTATGGATTCGGTGATTTGATTTGCTAAAATTGTAATTCATTTCATTTTCAGTTTCATTCATTTCATTTTCTTAGAAAAACACATTTCATTTCGTATCATTTGTCCTCCGTTGCAATTTTTGCAAATAATAATTCTTTTTTTTTTTAATCTTATATTAGCTGGATTGACAAAATGATTCTGGCAAACGCGTGTGTCGCGGTATCGTAGCCGCAGTGCGCGAGAAGCGTTTGTGTCGAGAAGGGTTAAGGTTGTGACACGCGACCGTGCGTTCCTCGTGGCAAGCGGTGACTGGGCGTTCGTTTTATCGGAACGAGGCGTCGACGGGCATCGACACTTTTATCGAGACACGAGGATTTCGCTCGACCGTTTTCCACGTTGTAGGATTCCACGTTCGACACGATCGATCGGGTAACGCGGCACAACGGTCACCTTTCATAATACTCTAGCAAACTCTAATGGCAACAGACGGAAAACAGGAAAATCTGTGCATGCTAAAATATCATAATATTACATTACCTTAGATTCTACAAATCATAATAAATTGATAGCTTAGTTTCCTTTGATTAAATAAAACATTTAATTAACAATTATTTCATCATATCGGAATTTTACATAGTTTAAAAACCTTTTTGTCTTTAATCCTGTAAATTGCTTAAAGAAGGATAAATAGACATGAATAGATTTATGTCTTAAGCACGAAGATAGTAACAGAAATACATTACTATCTCGGAGGTTGTGGGGACAGAAGAATTCTTTAAACGTTTAAAATGAAAATGTGATTTAGGACTGCGAATTCTGAGTTCTCCATACATTTAACATGTTCGCGGACGTGAATGCTATATTATTCATTTTGATTGTGATGCAAAGTGACATGAGTGCTACAACATTCAAATTTATAAGCCACATGACCTTACATTTGATTCTATATAGCCTTAATTTTTTGAAATTATTATGCACTCTAATCCTCGGAGTATTAAAAAAATTGCCTGTCTGTTATTGCCGCTTATTAAAATTTTTGATGTGTTAAATGGTTCACGAAAGTAGCGAAAGCTGTGTTTCTCTTATTTGTGTTATGTATTCATTTGTCGTTGTAATCGTTGCTACAATTCAGTTCCTTCGGTAAATGCTTTTTGTTGGCTGACAGCGTTTAATCAGGCCCGATCAGGAATCGCAAAGTTGACACGGTGGAAACGTTAAAAGTCACGAGGCTACCTGACATTTCGAGTGAGCGTACATTTTGAACGAGGAGCTCTAATTATCGGAAGTGCAATCCCGCCCACGATGAGCTGTCGCATCCTCTTTAACGAAAGCGTTTCTCGGCGTTTGCTCCTTCGACCTTTGAACGTAGTTTGCTTGACCTATGAGGGGAATCGATCGCGGTTACAAACTCGCATTTTTCTGTTGATTCCATCCCCTGCAATGGAAACGGTGTGGGCACAACGATCGTTTCCGCGATTGAGAAATTATTCATTGATAATGCCGTTGGCGCCACCACGTACGAGCGTATCTCGCTCGAAGCTATCAGTTTCAATTGTATGTAATTGCATTGGCTTTGTTCGAACGGTTCGACGTGAAAATCATTGAACTACGAATTTCACCGTTACTGTTTCAATTTCACCGTTGCCGTTTGAATTTCAATTCTACTGTTGACATTTGAATTTGAGCTTCACCTTTAATATTTAAATTTTGATCGGACCGTTAACATTTATACTTCTGTTTGATCGTTGAAGTTTATACTGGAAGCTACCATTGTTATTCGAATAATAGTGTAATCGTTAATGCTCGAATTTGAGTTCGATTCTTAATATTTAAATCTGAATTTAACCGATACTATTTACACTGGAACCTAATCGTCATCATTCTAATTCGAGTAATTGTTAATATTTGCGTTTCACCGTCGACACGTTGATTTCATCGATCGCCAGTTCGTCAAGTGCATTTAAATTATCAAACATGATTTCGACCAGTGTTTTTCGCTGACAGTTCCGTTACACTGTGATCGCTTGATCGTGTCGCGGTTACACAATATTACTTCAATACAAATTACACAATTTAACGCCGTCAGAGACATACTGCGCGGCCGTTACGAAAACGGGGCAGCTCGCTGAAACGAGACGCAATATTCACAACAAGAAAAACAAGAAAGGGAAATGAGAAAACCGGAAATCTACACGCGATTAACGATTATTTGATCTAGAAACGGTGGGACGCATTTTTCTCGATTTCTCGATACCGCGGTTTCTCGATATCAATACTTAATGCGTCGCGCGGCGTTAGTGGGAGTCGAACGCCTCGGTTCGAGCCCGACTATCGACGATAATTCAGTTTCCCGTCGGCGACGGAATCAGTGCTGGCTCCGATCACGCTCCGTCGATCAGTTTTCAAATTACAGCGCGATAAACAGTTCGGATCGCAAACGCAGAAGACAGTTAACGAATTACGAGTGTTCGTGCAGGATAAAAGTTTCTTATTGTGATTTAGGTGCTATGATTGAAGGTAAACTAACGTTCATTGTTTCATCAATGGTTTTACGTTGACATTGAAACAATGACATTATTGAATTCGACGATATCGAAGTTCGCAATACAATTCTTTTTATTTCTTGACTTCATATTTTATATAAATTTATCAAAATTCATGGTCTACCAGTTACGTTTGACGGTCTTTTCGTTAGCCTTTTGGCACATCAGCTGACCATGTGATTTAACGATACTGATATTTTTAACCGCATTCAGGACATTATGAGGCAAAAATTAAATAAATCATAACACTCTTGTTGTTTTTTATATGAAAGATTCAAATGTGGAAAGGTGGTGTAGTAACTTTTTGGGAAGTATGATAGCGATACAACACTGTGGTGGCGTGCAGTAGGTAAAACGTTAACAAAGTAGAAGGACTTCTTTTTATCCGTTTTCTATGCGCATGTTTATACGTTCCGTTGCAACGGGTAGTATTGCGGACGAGTAGTCCCTGAACATGTGGGAACACTGTGGAAACAATGGGAAAATGGAGAAACGATTTGCGTCAATTGTTTGGACGACGGTTTGAAGGATCACGATGAATCCACGGTTTTCGAATCGCAGTCGGCGTCCGCAGTTCGTATCGATGAATTCTAACAGTAAATTCGCGATCCTTACGGTGTCTAGTGTCTCTAAACAATTACCAAAATTGCGAAAATTCGTTTCCCATGTTAAACACTATTTTCCCTTACTCGCGGGTTAAAGTGAGCCATCGTTTTTCTATCATCCCCACCTTCAAGAGGGATTAATCGTTTGAACATTGGCTGGAGAAGCTACAGGAGAAAGTAACAGGCACAAAATTAAAAGTTCCGAACAATAACGATACGTGCTCGTTTATCGCAGTAATCTTGTTCCTATCGGTCTTCCAGCAAGAATACTCTATATAAAAACCAGAGAAAAAGAAAATTGCGTCTTGTCACGCGAACAAAATTAATACAAGAAACTAGAAAACAAAGTCCTTATAAAATTATCGGAAAACTCATTCATCGTTAAAAAGTTCGATCGATATAAGTCGCCGCAATAATCTTAATCCTATCGCTTTCCCAACAAGAATACTCTATTTGAAAGAGCAAACGAAGAGAAAATTGCGTCTCGTTGAATAAAATTAACTCGTAAGAAAACTAACAAAAGAAAAAAAAACGAAAATCGTTATAGTCTTATCGGGAAAGGTTTTAAAGCCAAGGGGTTCGATCGACGATAAATCGTTGCGGATCTGTCGATGGATCCCTCGGGGTGCATCTGGTAGTAGTTTATCGGCGAAGATAGTGTCGCTGGCAAAAAGAATCACGAGATCGATTGCACAGGCAGAATCGAAGTGACGGAAGAAGGGGAAGTTCCGCGGACATTCAGACGTGGATGCTGTGGCCCGTGTTGGGGGATGACGGGCTGAGCCCAGCGTCGCCCCCGGCGTCGGCCAGCGTCAAGGGGGTTAACAAACTGGCGCCTCTGCTCCTCTGCGGCCCCTGCAAGCCCAGCAGCCAACGGAAGAGCCAGAATTCCACGCAGTGGTACGTGCAGCAGGTAAACAGACTCGCAACAGAATTCACTGATCATCCGGTTTTTTCGTTTCCTCCGTTGGACTGCATCTTCTATCCGTTTTTTTTCATTTTCCGTCTATTTCATTTTATCTTATTTCCCTCCGCGGTTTTTCGTTTCGTTCTTGGCTCGATAACGATCTCTCTTCGTTCGAACGACTTTGCATCAGGCGCGAATCTATTTAAATTCGATTGTTTGAATCCCGAAACCGAGCGATGTACCTGTCAGACTCGCGTCGTTCGAATTCGCGTCATTGGAATTTCGAATAAAACGATTTAAATTTGAATCTGATTTTGCTTCTGATTTCTCCACTGTTTTTCTCGGGTTTCGAAATCGAGCGTTTCCATTTGTCCTCGAATCGGGTCACTGCAGTTTTGAATTTGGGAGAATTCCTATCTTGCACTTTGAACACGTGAATGTGTATATGTTGGAACTTGACTGTTCGAAGTTTTGAACTTGAGTGTTTAAAGTCGGTTAATTTTGAGTCTGATGGTTCTAATTGGGAAATATCAACGTTGATTCTTGGAATTCGACCGATGAAACCTGAATCGCTCGATTGATGCGAATCTGCGCGATGAAATTCGAGCCTGAAGTTGACAACTGAATGTCAAACTTCATCGTCACATTCGAAGCTTGCTCGTCGATGTTTTCGAATTCAAACATTCGAATTAAATTCCACTTTGCACGTTCGTTCTTTTTATTTGGTTCGGCGCGACGTTCGACTCTTTTGTGTTATTTGCCTGCTGTGGTTCTTTGTTTTCGCATTTTTTTGCACCTACGTAGTGGCGTGCTGGCGAGTACTGCGTTCTGTGTTGGCTCGGCGTTGTTGTTTTCACATGTTGCATGAAATTCTTGTATTCTCGGTAATAGTGCGTAGCCTGGACTGTTTAGTATTTTGTTTTCTTGGAATTTTCTTGGATTGTGTGCTCGGTTCTTGTGCTTTCAGGAGGTTTGACCGTTTTGGGCAATATTGCTGACGCCCTTAAGGAAAATTCGAATTTCTGCACTGTCTTGAAAATCTTGGAAATGCTGAAAATTGGTTCTATTTACATAAATAACAAGAATGGAATGGGAAGAAGTTGTCCTTACATTTGCCTTTGGACAAGCTCTCGAAATAAAATACAAATTTTTATAGTCTACAGATAAATCGATTATCTTGGTTCGCGTAACGCGAGGATTTCAAGAATACCCGAAACACACACATTCGATAGAAATAAGTAAACTTCCTCCGTGTACCTCAAAGAAACTTGCAAAGTACATTGAACAGTTTTACGCTGTTTCGAAATAAATCTATTATCCCTATTTATATCAGATAACACGGTTGGTTTTTAAACACTCAATGAAAATAAGAAGATTGATCGATGAACCGGAACGTGTAAGGTCTAAAAATAAGTAGATTCTCCCTGTTCTTGTCGGACGAGGTTTAGAACTATAGTTGGTTTGTGGATACCCAACAGAAACAAGTAGATTGATCCATTTGCTTTAGACAAGATTTTCAAGTAAGAAGATTACGGATCTTGAACTAAAGTAAATATTAAATTGGCGTGAAAGTCTTGTCGTTTTACTATTTAATTTGCCATTAATGTAATGATGCATGAAGAAACATTATATACAATAAGTCAAGTAAAAGACAATAGAATAATAAAATACGTCACGCTTGGTTCAACGATGCCTCATTGAATATGACGAAATGATTCTTCAAATTTTATTCAAAAAAGCAGCGAGTCTTTTTGGCCAATTGAATAAATATGTCGATTTCCATGTAAACTTCCCACGAACACTGAAACTAACTGAATGTAGCTTGTTTGCCTCTGACAAAGTTTCAAAGTGGAAGCGGAATGTGTGCACTGCCTAAAAATAAGTAGATTGCCTCTGTTTGCGCCGGACAGGATTTTGAAGCATAATGGAAGTAAGTAGATTGTCCCTGTCTATCTCAGGCAAGGTCTTCAAGTGGAATTGGAATTTATACTCGGGGTCTGAAAATAAGTAAATTATCAGGGTCCGCGTCAGACTCTGCGCAGGAAGCGTTCGAAAATTGCACCGAACTCGTCGAACAATATTATTTATCGGCTGTTTGCATCGTGAGAGCGATCTGTTTAACCCATTTGTATCTGATAGTAGATAAGTCCGCAACGGAACGCTGCTTTGTTTCATAGAACGCGGAATAATTCGGTCGCGACTTGTATTATTTAGAATTCTATTAATATACAATATACCTTGCATTTTGAATTTTTATAATCAGTTAGAAACGAAAAAGAATAGTAAACATCTACATTAGAATAAATTAATAAGTGACTCGATAAGTTAAGTATCTACGAATCGATCATATTAGATTAGCCAAATAGTTTTGTCATTTTGCAAACATTAGAAATGTTAGAAATATTATAAACATTACAAACATTAAAAATACCACAGATGTTGTAGATGTTACAAATATCATAAATATTACAAGTAAATAAGTTAAAAAATAATAGGAAGCTTCCGAATAGAATAAGCAATGCACCTTCTACGAATTCCAATTCAACGTAATGAAATGTTTCTTTACACTTCATTTAAAATGCGACGAGACTTTTTGGCCGACAAAATACATGTTTCGATGCCGGTAATACAGGGCAAATTGTACGACTGGAGCCCACATACGAATGGGTTAATCTGTCTCTGCGGTTCGATACGATTGGATGAAACCGAATCGGTCTACAGAAACCTCGAACAACCGTCGCGTCGAATCTCTTGCTAGAAATTCGATTCCGTCGGGTTAGAAAGTGTCGGGACCGTGCGGCCAGTTCGTGTCCCTCGATAATTGTTTCGGCCCGAAGCGAGTCGGTCTCGATAAATCGCGCTATACTTTCTCGCGTTTATCCGGAAACGTTTCGACTTCTACATTGGTTATTCGAATACTTCTAACACTTCAATTCGAACCACAGAAAAATCCTTTAGAAAGATTGTAATACTTTATTTTTCGATAAAAATGAACTACGAACTTCCATTCAGATCTCACGTGAATTTTGAAAAAGACCTCCGGTAAAAAGGAATCATAATCTTTTATTCGTTACGTATGAATTCTTCAATAATTTCCTAGAAAAACTGGTTACAATCTCAGACCTTCCATCTACATTCAAATTTTTCGTAAATCTCGAACGAACTCTTCGTATCTTAAACTAATCATTCGGAACATCCAAAATCCGTTTCCACGACGATTATGATAATTACGATTATTATTATTTATTTCTTTACTTTTGTGCTATTTTTGTTTTGACAAAATTACACTCAATAGCAATTAATAAAGTTACTAATGGATAGGTCAAGTAAGAGATGATAGTTTCTCACGTATTGTTTTATTTATTATTGGCTTTAGAAAATCAGTTTTCGTTGACGTCAATAATAATAGGATTATTCTTAAAAGTTTCATATAAAATTATGTTTTTATCCATGTTCCATTTTCCGCGTTATTTTACTACAAATAGTATATACCTAAGGGATCCGTCACGCGATCCAATCCCGAACGAATGGAAGCTGGCCGGAGGATAAAGCGAAGAATTCGGTTTTCGCGAACAGACTAGACATTATTCATTTAACCGTAAGCGATTACTGCGACAGAGTCACTCGATAACGTCGATAGCGACTAGATTACGTCGCGTCGATAAGCTATCGCCGGTGAGCCGCTTTCGCGCGCAGAAAATTCGCTCCAGCCATTTCTGCGAACGGTAAGTGTGTCACGCTCCTCGGTCTGCATGTTTGCGAGCTGCGGCGGTCGTGATACTTTGCTGCGCGCGAGAGTAAAGTGCCGTCGCAACGATGTGTCTGTACACGTGTGCTTTCTATGCAGTTTTGTCATCGGTTCACTTATAAAAATTCACATGTTCGGTATGAGTATATTAGACTTTTCGAGCGCAAGAATCACTTATCTTCACGAATAAAATTTCTTAATTATGCACCGGAAAAAGTTTGTTATTTTCTTGTTAGCAATAAATTGTGGTCTGATATCAATTAATATTACGCTAGTTTAATTAATGAAATTAGCAGCATGATGATTCAGGTGATAGCAATTCCATTCAACTGATTCTTGATCTTTTTCTCGTAAAATCATCCCTTAACCCCTTCGTCCCTGAACATATATTTTTCACATAAAGCAAAGAGAGGGCTAAGAACACATGATTTCAAGTAAAATTGAAGCTTTTCAGTGAAGGAAACAAGATTTTACGAAAACGTTCTCTGCGTTTCAATTTTGATTTAAGAACTCGCATGAACTTTTTCTGGTACCTAATAAATATCGCTGTTTAAGAAAAAGCAATGTTACAGTCTATTTGTATAACTATTTAGAAATACAGGGGAAAATATAACATTCATTTTACTAGAAAATAAGATTTGATGCTGTTGCTGATTTACCGAATGGCGGATCACGCGTGTAAGGAGTACCGGATATAATGAATCAAGAAAATCATTCGTGCTTCAACGAATCGATCCGATTTTCTGTTCGACTTGTAAAAACTTGATTCTAATAACGTAATGGCTGCTTGACCTTAATATAAACGACTGCCGATTCATGTGTTTTAATTTCTTAAATTAGGCGTCATATTATCTTATGTCTCTTCATTGAAACTGGTTTTCATAAAGAAAACAAACTCGATAATGGCCTTCGCGCGTTGCAAGTTTTCTTCGTACCTTTAGATAAACGATCAACTGGCATTTCCACTGTTTTTTTATTATTTCAATAACGTTGGTTGCTAGGTGATTAACTTTGACGATGTATCGATTGATTGTAATTCACTTATGTTTTTCAAAAGAAGTTCACCGCGCATTGCTCCACGGTGAATAAGATCGATAAATTTATCGAAGAATGATCGGAGACTCTTGAGAAACTTTGGATCGGGGCAAAACGCGTACGTAAAAAATAACTCGAGTCGCGGGGATTCCAATTTTCGCGGTGTGATTCACATTTTCGCGAGGACGGACGTAGCGACGCTGAGTCTCGACCGATGTCCACG